TACTTTGTCAACAAAGGTCCATCTAGTCAAAGCTATGTTTTTTCCAATAGTCATGTATGTGTTTGAGTTGGACTGTGAAGAAAGCTGAGTGCCAAAAAATTGATGCTTTTGAACTGTGATGTTGGAGAAGACTCTTGAGAGTCCCTTGGACTGCAAGGAGATCCAACCAGTCCATCCTAAAGGAAATCAGTCCTGAATATTCATTGGAAGGACTGATGCTAAAGCTGAAACTCCAATACTTTGGCCACCTGATGCGAAGAACTGACTCATTTGAAAAGACCCTGATGCTGGGAAAGATGGAAGGCAGGAGGAGAAGGGGCCGACAGAGGATGAGATAGTTGGATGGCATCACAGACTTCATGGACATGAGTTTGAGTAAACTCCGGGAGTTGGTGATGGACAGGGAGGCCTGGTGTGCTGCAGTCCATGGGGTCGCAAGGAGTTGGACATGACTGAGCAACTGAACTGAACTGAATACTGTGATCTATTAAAAACATAAACCTTAGGTCAATATCCTATTTCTCTTTTAACTGTCATCCCCTGTATCTAAAATAAAATCTAAGCTCCTTACGTTGACCCACAATGCCATTTGTGACCTGATCCCTGCCTACCATCCTGATTTCACTCCTTCAGTGTTACCGCTCATATTAATTTCTACCTCTAAAGCTCTAAAGTAGCTAAGTCGTGTCCGACTCTTTGCAACCCCATGGACTGTAACCCACAAGGTTCCTTTGTCCATGGGATTCTCCAGGCAAGAATACTGGAGTGGGTTGCCATGCACTCCTCCAGGGGATCTACCCAGGAATCAAACCCACGTCTCTTAAGTCTCCTGCATTGGTAGGCAGGTTCTTTACCACTAGTACCACCTGGAAAGCCTGATTTCTATTTACACAGGCATTAATTTTGTCCTTAAAACGCAGCAGTCCAATTCACTGCTCCAGCACCACATCTCTAATTCTCAGGATACACTTTATTGGCTCTTCATCTTCTTGATATTTAGGTCTTACAACTCAAATAGCTCTTTAGTGAGGCCTTGCCTAATTGATCTATCAAGATCTAAAGTTATCTCATTTATCTGTTTAATTGCATACTGTCCACCCCCCTTCAGAGAGTAATTACACAAGGACAGGTATTACTGAATATACAATACAGCATTTAAAACTTTGCATAAAGTAAGCTTCAAAAATTATCTGACAGAATTCCAATACCTTAAAAGCAAAGGAATATTAGTTTAACTTTTTATGTAATAAAGGTATCATTTCTACAATATCCTTGATTGAATCATCATTCAAGAATATCTTGAACATCTCTAGAGATGGCAAGGTTTTTATGTCATGAAGCAGTTCATTCCACGTTCAGACAGCTCTACTTGTGAGAAAAGCCCTTCTATGGACTCAAGGGTATTCCATTTTATAGATTTAAAGGTGTTTTCTAAACAACTAAGTGAAACATTTTACACCTATTCAGTTAAATATATTTTTTTATTTCAGTATAGTGTTCTATAATATTTTTTCAAATACCAATTCTGTACTTCAACATACTGAAGAGCTCTCTAAACTTTGCACCATCAACAATTTTGAAAAGAATGCCTTCTATGGCATCCAAATAACTGATAAAAATGTTTGCATAAATGTCTCAAACCCTGAGTGTGACGGTCTAACAGCCTAACATTAGAGCCCTTTCTCCGAGTTGATGCTGACACCACCCGGGGTTCAGGGAGCTATGTGTCACTGCCTAATGACTTCTTACCCACACAAATACCCTGAAAGGTATTCCGAATGCCTTTCTAAAGTCAAGATTAACTATGAAAATAAAGCGTTTTATTAACAAGGATTTCCTTTTATCACTTCACTATACATATGCGTATTATTATACATGTATATGCATATCACTATACATAACTATGTACACCAACTGATTCCTTGAATAACTACCAACACAGGATATAGTAAATGTCAATATCATCAGTGTCTCTCAAATAAGATTTTTGTATAGCCTATAAAAAATACCACTTATTATGAACTGATATAAACAAAGCTATGTCAAACAATGTGTTAGTCTGTTCCAGAAGACTGAGAAACGTTAAGGTGAATCCAACATTATCTACAGTGCTTACGGCTCTCGTATGGAACCCCCGTCACGACACTGGTTTTAGCTGAAGTGTGCATGTGGGCTTCGCCGGTGGCTCAGACAGGAGAATCCACCTGCAACAGGGAGACCTGGGTACAATCCCTGGGTCGGGAAGATCCCCTGGAGGAGGAAATGGCAACCCACTCCAGTATTCCTGCCTGGAGAACCCCCATGGACGGAGGAGCCTGACGGGCTACAGTCCACGGGGTCACAAAGAGTCGGACATGACTGAGTGACTAAGCACAGAACAGCAAAATGAAAATGTTTTTAACATTACATAGGACCAAATTAACTGGGAATCATACCTTCAGTAATAAGGACACATTCAGAGTGACCTTTAAGTCCTAAAAAGATCTGGTCAAATCATCCATTCTAAGATAAATCTTCCTAAATCAAGAAAAGTCTATTCTGTGGCAGTATCATGATACTGAAGAACTTACTTTGGGGCAATTATTTCTCTATCACTGCTTACTCAGCTACTTTACACAACTGAATAAGACTCACAGAAGCCCTGAATTATGCAAAGTAATTTATAAGATATTTTATATTACTTTTCCTAGTTGAGTAATCTTTATGAGAAAATTCTTATCAATTTTTCTTTTTTTTAACCATCTTCTCAGAAAGCCATGAGGATTTTTCCTGTGAGACAGATGTAGCTATGTGAAACCAACTGCTACTGGGGGAAAACACCAATTTTGTCTTTGTTCAACACAATCATCTTTGCTTTTAGGAAAAAAGAGAAGATGAAAGACCGACTTCAAGAACTGAAGCAACGAACAAAGGAAATTGAGCTCTCTAAAGACAAGGATGTGTCGGCTACAGAAGCAGAGGAACAAGGGGTGTTTCTGCAGCAAGCTGTTATTTATGAAAGAGAGCCTGTAGCTGAGAGACACCTACATGAGATCCAAAAACTACAGGAGAGCATTAACCATTTGACAGATAATGTTCAAAAATTTGGGCAGCAACAGAAAAGTCTGGTGGCTTCAATGAGGAGGTTCAGTTTAATTAAGAGAGAATCTAGCATTGCGAAAGAGATAAAAATCCAAGCAGAACACATTAACCGAGCTTTGGATGATTTAGTAAAAGAAGTTAAAAAGTCAGAGGATGAAAGTGGTCCATCATCAGTGGTCACAAGGATACTTAAATTTCAGCATGCTGCGATGTTCCGCCATTTTCAGCAAACTATGTTTACATACAATGACACAATAGCAGCAAAACAAGAGAAGTGCAGGACATTTATTTTCCGTCAGCTTGAAGTTGCTGGAAAAGAACTACCTGAAGAAGAAGTAAATGATATGCTTCATCAAGGAAAATGGGAAGTTTTTAATGAGAGCTTACTCACAGAAATCAGTATCACTAAAGCACAACTCTCAGAGATAGAGCAGAGACACAAAGAACTGGTCAATCTGGAAAGCCAAATAAAGGACTTAAGGGATCTTTTCATTCAGATATCGCTTTTGGTAGAGGAACAGGGAGAAAGTATCAACAGTATTGAAATGATAGTCAATGGCACAAAAGAGTATGTTAACACTACTAAAGAAAAATTTGGACTAGCTGTAAAATACAAAAAAAGAAATCCTTGCAAGACATTGTGTTGTTGGTGTTGTCCATGCTGTGGCTCAAAATAAAGGAGCTACTTTAGAAATTTTTCCAGTTTAGAATGAAGGATGTTCTGTAATTTACTGTCTCATATCACTCTTCTTCATTTCATACAGCCACTCATAAACTTTCATCGCTATTAAGTTATAATTTTCCCCTTTCATTCTTACCTACTAGAATGACAGAAATTTCTCAAGCTAGTAACAGAAAACAAGTCTTTGATTATTAAACTAAATATAGTATATTAGCTTCAAACTCATGGGTCAACTATTAAAAATGAGATGAATCATCTTAAGTTTCTAGACAGATAACAAGCTCTATCACATATTTTTTGTAATCTTTCAATGCCTAAACAAGATAAATGTCAATAAATGAAAACTACTTAAACAATCCTTCAGGTTCATTTAAGAGCATTTTGGTAGTAAAGAATTGTATAAGACAAGACTTCAAGGAGTGCTATATTGAAGCAAAATCAAACTGGAAGCTGTATAAAATCTTTTATGTTCAGACAGGTCAGTTAACTCAGGGGTCAACAAATCCTAGGGAAACCCAACTATTAATATGCACTCAATGAAGAGTCTAATTGGTAACCAGGAGCTGATTCTAGCTTAAGGCCTAAAAAGCTAAGTGAAGGAACTGTTTTCCTGGACTTGGATCCATTCAGGACTGTATTACAGATTAAGAAAACTGGCAAATAAAGTAAAAAATAAAGGTAACTGTATTATTCTTGGAAGTTTCTCCACCACTTTATTGTGAAGCCAGGCAGTAGACTAGGGACTAGGGATACACTCTGATCTAATGTGGGGATAGAGTTTTGGAACTAATATTCTAGTGGAGAATACAAATATTAGACAAATTTTAGACAATGTTAAGCTCTTGGCAGAGATTTAAAATAAGGGTGATAAGATAGAGACTGTCAGAGCAGCTTCTTTTGACTGGGTGGTCAACATAGGCCTCTCTAAAAGGTAACGTAAGTGAAGACCTACGTGGTGAAGACAAGGGAAACATTTACTCTAGGCATATGAAACGAACAGGATGAAGACCCTGAGGAGACCATAACTTACCCCGTTCACAGAAGAAGGAGCAACTCAGCTGTATGTGTGGGGAAAGAGCGGTGAGGCAAGAGGCGAGGGTAAGGAAGGTCCGCAGGGGCTGGATGTGAAGCTCTGCAGTCGGGAGTCTCCAGCAAGTGTGACGAGCGCGAAGCCCTCAGGCTGCTTCTGGCCTGGTAATAATGTTATGTAACTTATGTCCAAGAAAAATCACCCTGTGTACTGTAGGAGAATGGGTTAGAATGGAATTGAGGACAGGTGAATAGAGTACTAGCACGTACGTACAGAACACAATTAAAAGGCGAATGCGATAGTCCCAGTTAAGAGATGATGGAGGTTTGGGCTAGGATGGGAGGGCAGGTGGTGATGGTGGAATCAGCAATACTAATACTCAAGGCTGATAAACAACATACTTGCGATGTCCCAGCATTGTTCTAGTAATTTTACAACTTTACCAATAAGAACAGTGAAGCACAGCAAGGTTAAGTAACCTAACTTGGGCCACAGAAAATGTACAGAGAACTGGGATTTGAACCTAAGCAATATGATTCCAGAAAACAGTTTTTAATTACTATATACCATGTTGCAGTGATGGGGGGAAAATTAGACTAAAATATGATAGATTTAACAGCTATAATCCAGTCTACTGATTGGATTATAATGCCATTTATAATCAGAAAAGACAGAGATGAAGGTTTCAAAACTATAGGTGAGGAAGAAATCAAGAAATTCTATTTTGGCCAAGAGAGTCTGAGATGACCATAAAATGTCTAAGTGAAGGTTTCTAAGATACTAGTTACATCCGGAGGAACTTTTGGGAGATGCCAAAGCTATAGATTTAGGTCATCTGAGTAAGTAAAATAAGGTCTCAAAAGTATCTAGATGCAAGAAACTGGAAGGCCAGAAAAGAGCCTGAAGTATTTTAAAATTTGTATTTAAAGGAGAAGAGGAGTTTATGAAGAGACCATCAAAGAGGTAGGAGGAAAACCAAGAAAAGGATGCTGTAATGCAAAAGTATAGTACATGTACTTCTGCTCAATGTGATGTGGCAGCCTGGATGGAGGTGAGTTTGGGAGAGAATAGCTGTAGTGTTAATTGCTCATTTGTGTTCGACTCTTTGAGACTCTATGGACTATAGCCAACCAGGCTCCCCTGTCCATGGAGACTTTCCAGGCAAAAATACTGGAGTGGGTAGCCATGCCCTCCTCCCGGGGATCTTTCTGACCCAGGGTCGACCCAGGTCTCCTGCACTGCAGGCGGATTCCTTACCATCTGAGCCGCCAGGCAAACCCTGGGGGAGAATGGATCCATGTGTATGAATGGCTGAGTCCCTTCACTGTCCACCTGAAACTATCACAACATTGCTAATCAGCTGTACCCCAACACAAAATAGTTTTAATAAGAAAAAAAGGAAAAACAAAGTTGAGGAAATAAAATAAAAAGCTTAAGAAAAACACCAAAGTTGAGGAAATAGTCAATTTTAAGTAAAATAAAAACAGCAAAGTAACAATGGATTTGGCAACATAGAGATAATTTGCTGACTCCAAAAAGAGCAGTTTCAAGGGACTGTAGGGATGGAAGCACAAATGGAATAAAATGAGGAAAGAACGTGATATAAAAATGTATACACTACAAGCAATTCTTTGCAGAATTTTGAATAGAATCCTATTAAAATGGGAAAACAGGTAGACAGAGATGTAGAGTCAAAAAATTCCACAATACACCACAAAACACCAGAGCACATTCTGCTGATGGAAATTGTCCAGGGAGAGAAACTCAGTATAAAAAAGGGAAGGGGTAATATATAATAGTAGAAAGGGGTGGGATCTAGAGTAAACACGGAGAAGCTGACCTTAGATAGGAGTAGAAACACGTCTTCGATATTATAGGAGGGAAGGGAAGGTTAGGAATAAAAGCAGATAACTGACCAAATTTGGTGGTGGGAAAAATAAGAGAATTCTTATATGATAGTTTTCATTTCCTTAGAAAACCATGGGGCAAAATTATAAACTAAAAGCTCTGTGGAATTAAGGAAGAACAGAAATATCAATATGTATGAGTGTGTGTGTGTGTATCTCCTAACACTGTAAAATAATTTTAATTTATAAAATATAAAGAAATTGCTGAGGTTTATACTTTGCTAGTTACCAGCACTACCAGTGGAGAAGGCAATGGCACCCCACTCCAGTGCTCTTGCCTGGAATATCCCATGGACGGAGGAGCCTGGTAGGCTGCAGTCCATGGGGTCGCTAAGAGCCGGACACGACTGAGCGACTTCACTTTCACTTTTAAGCATTGGAGAAGGAAACGGCAACCCACTCCAGTGTTCTTGCCTGGAGAATCCCAGGGACGGGGGAGCNGCAGTCCAAGGGACTCTCAAGAGTCTTCTCCCACACCACAGTTCAAAAACATCAATTGTTCGGTGCTCAGCTTTCTTTATTGTCCAACTCTGACATCCATACATGACTACTGGAAAAACCATAGCCTTGACTAGAAGGACCTTTGTTGGCAAAGTAATGTCTCTGCTTTTTAATATGCTGTCGCAGTTGGGCATAACTTTTCTTCTAAGGTATAAGCATCTTTTAACTTCAAATGTTTAAGGAACATATAAAAAAGATAAATTTAGGGCTTCCCTGGTGGTTCAGATGGCAAAAAAAAAAAAAAGATAAATTTAATGATAAACTCCCCAGCTAATCAGGTGGTGAGACTTATTTCTTCTGTCCCAAAGCTGTGCAATATCCTTTTATGTAGTGCCTTACTGATACTTGTTTAAAATTGTTCCTAAATTGTTTATCATGAAAACTAAGAAAATCAAGTACTATTTATTATTCATTAGCATAATTATATACAGATGGTTTCAGAAAAGAGCAATTTTCTGTAGTAATATTTATATCTGAACATACTCATTTGAATACAAGACAACCACAGAAAGATTCATAGGACAGCGATATATCACATATATCACAGGCTTCAGCAATATGTGAACCATGAACTTCCAGATGTTAAAGCTAGATTTAGAAAAGGCAGAGGAACCAGGGATCAAATTGCCAACACCTGCTGGATCATCGAAAAAGCGAGAGAGTTCCAGAAAAACATCTATTTCTGCTTTATTGACTATGCCAAAGCCTTCAACTGTGTGGATTACAATGAACTGTGGAAAATTCTGAAGGAGATGGGAACACCAGACCACCTGACCTGCCTCTTGAGAAACCTGTATGCAGGTCAGGAAGCAACAGTTAGAACTGGACATGGAACAACAGACTGGTTCCAAATAGGAAAAGGAGTACGTCAAGGCTGTATATTGTCACCCTGCTTATTTAACTTATATGCAGAGTACATCATGAGAAATGCTGGGCTGGAAGAAGCACAAGCTGGAATCAAGATTGCCGGGAGAAATATCAATAACCTCAGATATGCAGATGACACCACCCTTATGGCAGAAAGTGAAGAAGAACTAAAGAGCCTCTTGATGAAAGTGAAAGAGGAGAGTGAAAAAGTTGGCTTAAAGCTCAACATTCAGAAAACTAAGATCATGGCATCTGGTCCCATCACTTCATGGGAAATAGATGGGGAAACAGTGGAAACAGTGTCAGACTTTATTTTTGGGGGCTCCAAAATCACTGCAGATGGTGATTGCAGCCATGAAATTAAAAGACGCTTACTCCTTGGAAGGAAAGTTATGACCAACCTAGACAGCATATTAAAAAGCAGAGACATTACTTTGCCAACAAAGGTCCGTCTAGTCAAGGCTATGGTTTTTCCAGTGGTCATGTATGGATGTGAGAGTTGGACTATAAAGAAAGCTGAGTGCTGAAGAATTGATGCTTTTAAACTGTGGTGTTGGAGAAGACTCTTGAGAGTCCCTTGGACTGCAAGGAGATCCAACCAGTCCATCCTAAAGGAGATCAGTCCTGAGTGTTCATTGAAGGACTGATGTTGAAGCTGAAACTGCAATACTTTGGCCACCTGATACGAAGAGCTGACTCATTTGAAAAGACCCTGATGCTGGGAAAGATTGAGGGCAGGAGGAGAAGGGGACAACAGAGGATGAGATGGTTGGATGGTATCATTGACTCAATGGACATGAGTTTGTGCAAACTCCGGGAGCTGGTGATGGACAGGGAGGTCTAGAGTGCTGCAGTCCATGGGATCGCAGAGAGTCAGACACGACTGAGCAACTGAACTGAACTGAACTGATATATCACATACAATTCCATTGTTATACTTCAAAAGCATCCTATTATGCAATAAAAACAATATATTTAACTAATTAGCTGCTGAAGGTATTGTTTATTCACATACAACAAGTACTAAAAGTAGCCATCATTTCCTTCAAATTACCTTAAAAGAAAAAATTCTTAAGCATTAGAAGCATAATATTAGGAAGCTACTGGCTCAGAAAGTGTGCAATAACAAAAACAGTGAAAACTACTTTGAGTACTTGAACTCATTCTTACTAAGCCATGTTAGTTTCTGTAAATCAAAAGCTTCATGTAGCCTGAAATCACACAAGATACTTTAAAACTGGCTCTCCTAATTCAATCTACCTCGGCACCACATATCAGCAATCGATAGCAACTATTCATTTCCACAATCACATGCACAGAACACTAGTAAAAAACTGCACTAGATGCTTTAAATACATTATTTCCTAATTCATGTAGTATAAATAT